TAGGTTGCCCGCATAGCCAAATAACGCTCTTGAGGACCTTGATGAGACGCTCAGGTGAGGCTCCAATCCACTGTCCTTTTCCCCCGAGAAAGGCCCCCAATTCAATACCTGAGGAAGCCGCTACTACTGACTTATCTTCGGACACCACAACCCCAGCGTCCATCCACAGGCTTTCCGCCGCTTTCTGCAGTGCAATCAACTCGTTGGGCTCTTCATTTCGCACCTTTGCGCCTGCAGCAAAATTATCAAGATACACATGCCACCACGGCCGCCCCTGCTTGTTTCCCAATTCTGAGCTCTCCAACACCCAACGCGGCAGAGGATGAGACTTGGAGATCTGAGCACAGGGATCAAAGCCCCCCTTTAGGAGAATCGTTTCAGCCAGGTCTTGCATGACCCCAACGGCCGAGCACCATCCCATGGGGAGCACCCTACAGGCCAGGTACACTAAAGAGGACCGATGGCCATCTACTTCCAGTCCCAATTCCTCACGCCTGAAACACAGGTTGAAACACAACATCCTGCACCAGCAAGGGGGCAACGCAAACAGGTAGAACGCACATTGCATGTCACTCTGCGCAATCCGAAGAGTTTCCCCTTCGTCCACAACCACATTCAACCACTGAGTTATACTTGGGAGCTTATCCACCTTCCCTTGAATCGTCTTCAACACGGCGTTGGCAGGCACCAAATTCATAATGAGACGCAAAACAGTTTCACCAGAGGGAAGCCTTTTGGGCTTAGGCACGCCAAACAGTCCACTTAGGACTTTTTTCCCTCTGAACCTGAACACCTGTTCCTCATCTACCCAGGTGCAAATACCTCGCCTGACAAGTTCAACAGCAATGCTTTTGTGTTCACCTTCGCCAATATGCACCTTTCCTTGTAGCTTCGGCAACTCCTGCCCCACATCAGCCACTAAGCACTGGTCAGGTCGCAGAAGCAGAGTTCTAGTGCGTCCGCTAACCCACTTCAAAGTGTCCACCGAACCACCATGACCTTCAGGAGGCAACCCTGGGAGCACCCTAGCTAAAGTCAGCGGTTCGGCCTTGCAAATTTCTTCACCTGAATACGTCACTGTCCTATGTTCAAAGTCGTCCACAATGTCAGCCTCTGTCCATGCCACAGTCGTGTCATCGTTCATCAACCGTTGGACCGACATCTCAACAGCACGCAACAAATCCCTCTGCGGGGCTGTAGGTTTTCCTTGTCCAAACATAAACCCCTCATTCGCCAGTTGGTTGCAAAACAGAACTCCTAAGGAGGCCCAGCACGCAACTGCATTGGCTTTGACAAATTCCAAATCATGCAAAACGGACGAAACCGACGCGTTCTTTCCAAACTGAGAAAAATCCACGAGCCAAACTTGAGGGAGGGGAAACAGTTTGTTTTTGGAGCGAAAAGCTCGTGGTAGCTGGCTCTTCTTTTTCTGCGCCATCTCGGCGGAGAGTTGGTCAAGGAAACTTCCATCCAAGGTTTCCCCTCGCTCACAAATGGAGAAATATAGTCCCACACCCAGCGCGGAAAAGGATCCAGCTAGGTCCAGCAGGACTTGCCACCACTTCAAACCGGGCGGCTCCACTGCTCCTCTCTTCACTTCTCGGCTTCGCCCTCTTTTTCCTTCTCTCCTTTTCCCTTGTTCTTGTCCTTCTTCCACCACCCCTGGTCCTGGTTCTTTCGCCATCCTCCACGGCCTGACCAGGGGTCTGCCTTCTCCTTTTCCTTTCCCTTCTTTCCATCTTTTCCTCCTTTCCTCTTTTTCCACCAGGGCTCGGCGTCCTGCCAGCCCCCATCTCCTTTGCCGCCCTTGTCCTTTCTCACGCGCCCCCTTGCCTCGTCTGGTTGGGTGACGCGCTCCATCATCTTCGAGAACTTCCGGGCTGCTAGAGTGATGGCCGGCCCTGCTGCCGATGTCTGGTCCGGGGAATAAAGCTCCAAATGCCTGGCAGCCGACCATTGCTGATCGAGGCTCGCCTGTTCGATCGCCAGCCATCGAGCCGCCAAAGCGTCTCCCAACTTGGCCAGGCGACCCACGCGAAGCAGGTCGATGACGTTCGCCAGCAAGTAGGTCTCTCGCCCGTCTCGGGATTGCTGAGAGAACGCCCCTGATTGGATCAGGGTATGCCAGTATGTCACAACCTTTGTTCCTGTCAGGACAGGGTCTGAGCTTTCCCCTGCACCGCTGAGCTCGTTGAGACGAGCCTCTATCCTCTCGATGAGAAGACTCAGCACGGAGCCCTCCATCCTCTCGCTGCGTTTCTTCAGGGGCGGAAGGAGGTCCTCTTTGTCTGTCTCGCTGCTGTCGACGTCCTCGCCACTGGAGTAGCTGTCCCCTTCGTCTGAAGAGGGACTTGATCCACTCGGGTCGTCTCCCTCTCTCTTTCGCTTCTTCTTTTTCTTTTTCTTTCCTCCTCCAAATATCGTCTGCAGTGCCTCCACTGCCTTTTGCTTCTTCTTTTTCTTCTTTTTCTTTCCATCTTTCGATTTGGAGGTCCTGGCTGCTTGCAGTGCCAGAGAGGAGGCCACATTCGACTTCTTGCTCATCATCCTCAAGGGCTTCAAAATATCTTCTTTTTGCTCCTCCCCATGGCCTTCTCCACTGGTCAGGGCAGCACGGCGAGGGCCAGCTGCTCCCTTCGGGGGTCCCAACTTCGTAGATGTGCCCAACCCTTCCTGAACAGGGTCGGCATCTCCATCCCCCTCTACACCCAAGTGGTCTCCACCTGTCAGAGCTCCTTGCCCAAGCCCCAAGCTTTGTTGACGCTTCCTGACCTGGTCCAACCTGGCCCTGAGCGTCCCGGCAGCCGAGCCAGCGGGACCAGGTTGCTTCGCCTTTGCCGACTTCCTGATGTCCTTGGGGCGGTCTCGACGATCTCCCTGACCTTTTCCTCGCAGTTGAGCCTCCTTGGGTTCCCCGCTCGGCTTCTTCCTCAAAGCAGAGGGTCTGCCAGCGGCACCTTCCAAGGGCTCTCTCACCTCGTCCAGCTCCTCTCCAGCCTCGAACTGCTTCACAATGCGCTTCCCTGCGGGCGACAGGCGGTGCGTCGGAAATGTGAGTCCATCCCACAGCTCCAACCGTTGAACATGGAAAACACCGCCCTCTTCCCCGCAAAAACCTGCACTTGCGCACACGTGAAGGTGTCCTTCCTTCCGGTTGAAAAAGGATGAAAGGATCGCCAGTGCTTCTGGATGTGAGCTCCCTACCGACTTTACCCTGACCAGGGCACTTCCATCGGCACCCAATTCTATACCTGTGACCAGGAAGATGCCTTCCACCCCATCTGCTCCCAACAGCTCGCCCGGAACTGCCGTAGCTATAATATCTCCCAACTTTATCTCCAAGGTGGACCATCTGGCGGGCTCGTTCACATCGAACAGCCCATAGGCGCCTCCAGCACCTACCAGCTCCACCTCCGCCTCGCCTTCCGTCATTTCTTAGGCTGAGGGGGGTGCCGGCAATCGCCGACGACCTAGGTGCGTGTGGATCAAAGTCAAAGTGACTCTCGTCCAGCTTCCGGTGAATCTTGAGGTAAGGGTCACGCTCGGCCCTGTAGAGACGCTTGTGTTTGCGCCCCGCTCTGTGTTTTGGATTCCTGTGCTTGCGCTTCTTGTTGGACTTGTCGTCCTTCCGCTCAGGCCTTGATGGCTGACTGGATCGATGTCGATGTCGCCGACGACGTCCAGACTCTTCAGGCACGGTGCTCCCACCAGCCTGTTCTTCTTCACCGTAATCTGCCTTCTCCTCAGTCTTGATCCTCTCTGCCACTCCTTTGGGAGGAGCTGGAGGTTTCGCCTTTCCCGAAGTACCAGGGGCCACAGTCGCAGGTGGCAGCGAGGGGTCAACCAGGATGGTCTTGTCCGAGGCCGCCTCCGATTCCTCCTCTTCCTCGTCGGACTCAGATGAGTCCTGCTCCTTCTCCTCGTCCTTCTCGAGAGGCTGCGGGGCGGCTCCCTTCTTCTCCTCCACAGGCTTCGGTGACCTCCTCAGAGGAGATCGCTCCCGGTGTGGCACGGGGTTTCCCTCAGCCGGAGCAGCCACCGGAGGGACCCGCGCGGGGAAGCGGCCCCCAGCGGTCCCCCCCAGTGTGGGCGTGCGGTGCAGCCGCTGTCACACGTGTGACACGCAGGGCCCGGACCTGGCGCACAGCCGAGACCACCAGGTCTGTCGCCACCGCCCGCAGGCCTGGGTGGCACCACGAGAACGAGAGCTCGTTCCCGATGGCCTCCCAGGCGCTGCAGGCGAGGCACCAGGTGTCACCGGAGGACGGCGACACCCGGCGGCACCGCGCGCACACGGTCATAGACCGTGAACGATCCTTTTTGAGCCCGTGGCCAGTCGGTGTTCGTGCAATACATCTCATGTTCCAAAGATGTCATATACGTGGATACTACACATGGATCACGGATATGTTTGTTCGATACATTGTGATTCTTTTTCGAAACAACTCACCCCTTCCAGGCTTCCAAACCTCACCTTCCGCCATGGCTGTCGTTCGAGGATTTCAGGATGGGCGATTTCGTTCGAGCCGCTAAAGTGAGGATTTCGTCCGACGGAGAAACTCTCGGAGTTTGGGGTGGGTTGCAGAGAAGGCTAGCTGTAGTGGCCGATGGTTTAAGCCCATGCGATGAAGAGGACAACAAAACACACACCTCCTTAGCCACACCTCACTGGGCGTTGTATCGAAAGTGCTTTCACTCAAGTTCCCAGCTCTGAGAGTCCACAGTGGAGAGTACAATGTATTTATAGTGTCCTATTGTGTTTGCCTCTAAATGAAACATCCATTATTGTTTGGGGTTATCTTCCATGAGAAAGCCGAAGGAGCAAAATAGCTTTGCAATGCCTGTTCGATCGCACTGAGGAGCGACTGCTATATAATCCAGGACAACATGGTACGACACAACACATCGACTGGACATGAAACGAGAGTTGCGGAGTGGCACCGCCGTTCGCTTTTCACTTCTCCCTTTCCTCGTGCCAAACAGACCGACACTATCTATGCTCACTTTAGTGGCACAAACTGCGAGTTCTTGCTCATCATACCCGCACGACCGTGCTTGATGGGCTTGTAGGTGATGGAGAACTCACCCAAGTAGTGGCCGATCATCTCCTTGGCTCATTCTTGACTCATGGAACCAGTGAAGAATATTATACAAAAAAGAAGAAAACGCCTTCAACACACACGTCTGAGATGGCGTACAGGCTTGATCTCCACCGTGATGTACTGCTTGCCGTTGTACACACCCACCACGCTGCCTGAACAGGAAACAAGAAAAGAAAGCAATTAGAAAGCCATAAGCTATTAGCAACTGCATCGCTTCGTTCGTAACAAGTGCCTTACTAACGTTCGGACGCTACGAACCTACCGATCCGTGCATCGCTCCGTGGATCCGTGAAGCACGGACCGAGCGAGCCAACCGCCGAGCCAAGGCGCCAATCATCTCGGGCCTCGGTCGAGCTGGGCCGGCCGCGGACGGATGTGACCACGGTCGGTAGCTGAAATAGCTGGGCTATTTAAGGTGAAGGTATATGGCTAATTTGGCTGAGAAAGACTCAGCTCAAAGATGATGTAATGGCTAGATGGGTTGACAAGGCGAAGATCTTCCGATCGATGAAAGGGGCTAAATGCATTCAACAAAGAAAGCAGCATCCACCTTATTTGCAACTTGTCAAGTGGCTCAAGAATACCCAACAACGGATTCTAGTTCCAGTGGTTCTTAGGGTATCCACCAACCGAAGTTCTCAGTGACCTTTGCTCACCTACTAGTACAAGGGAAGGAATTCATGTGACTATAGAAGATAAATGAAGACAATATAATCTCAAACGAGTAGGAACCGTGCCGGTGGAAGTCCCAGTTGGGTCCTCTTAAGCTCTGCATACTCCACGTCCCGCACCGAAGCGCCGGAGAACACCCAGTGGGAAGGGCCCATGCTCCCAACGGAACACACTAAAACATACTCAAAACAACAACCTGCTAATTAGTAGCCTTTTGTTACTAGTAGTAAGGCCAGGAGCTACTAGTAGCTTCTTGTTACTAGTAGTAAAGTAGTAAGGCCAGGAGCGATTCTGCACATTCTCCTTTACGACAAGCACTTTGGGGATCCCAGGCTGTGTCTGAAGTGGATTTATTACCAGGCCTCCAAGTGGCACGATAACCATATTCCTCAAGTGAGTCTTCACGGCCTCTGGCTTCTCACCATAGGCGGTATCGCGCTTTGCCTCCATCAAGCAGGCATCTTCAAGACTCACTTGCCTTTGTTTTCAGTGAATGGACGCTAAGGGCCGTCCAGAGCTCCAAGAAACCACGTTGGACAGTGTTCCCTTGAATCCCAACTCAACAAGTTTCGATATGTGCCTCGCATGTGCCGAGTTCCTCACACGTGTCTTTTCTAAAAAGCTAAGTAACCGAGACTTAGTGGAGAAACTCCCACGCTTCTCAAACAGCCTCATCAAGGTTTCCTCCACTATAGTCCTATATAGACACTGCATGGACATTAGAATATAGATGAATATAGTTATATAGGCTAGGTATAATTAATTATCTGTGGCTCAAGGCTCAATGATATAAGGAGAAACCGGGAATCAAAGCAGTTCATGTCCAAAGTACCTACACCTTCGAACTTGACCACCCACAGCTCCCAAATGCTCCCAACCCTTCACAGCACAAAACCTGCGATGCGCCCCAAAGCGACCAGGTCAACTCGCAGAGATCCCCACCTTTCGCAGCTTCTTCAGCACGGTGATGGGCCTCTGAGAGGTGTTTTCCCATGCGCCAAGATCCGATCCGAGGCGCCCCAAAACACCAACCGGCGGATCGACGGTGTCTGTGGACCTAAACCAACTGCGCATCGCAGGCTCTTCATCCACATCGAAGGGAATCGCTGGCGGCTTCACCTTCGCTGCGGACTCAACTCCTCGCTGTAGCGGCTTCGCGCCGGACATCGACGGGCGCCCTCGACCGGTCCTGTGGCTCTCGCGAGGCCCAAAGGTCGCGGTGTTTTAGGCATCGAACACGTCCGTGAAACGGAGCAAATCAAGGATGTTCATTGGGGATCATGATGCAAAGGGTTCCCTAGATGTTTTCATATGTTTTCCATGGTTGCAATCCAGTATCTATGCAGATTGCAAAGGGCTGGAAGATCGCATCTGTCAAGAACACCAACATCTCATGTGAAGAAAAGTATTCTCCCTTGGTTGTACAGCAAACGTCACCGTCACGGTAAACCGTTCAAGCACGTCGTGTCAACGTTCCAGCACGTCGTGTTCTCTGCAGATGTCTCAGGAGGTCGACTCCATCACTTGGATTTGCTTTAGGAACCAAGAAAAAGATTGACAAAGTATAAAATATTCCCCAGTTGAAAGGGATTCACCCACGAAAATTGAAACAATCACCTTAAGCAAAAAACATCATCAGCCCTCTTCCACTGAGCTTCCCCGGCGCGCGCTTGATACCGCGGCTGAACTTCCGGCGCTGGCGCGCGCAGAAGAGCTCCATCAAATCCTGGTGGAACACAAAGAGCACGTTGAGCATGGTGGTCCCACACGTTGGCATGGCAGAAAAAAAACAGATTACACTCCCTGAATCCATGTAACCATGGATGATTTCAAAGAGTGTATGAAAACATCAACACAAACCACTGGTTGCTACCAGCACCTTCACTGCCAGGTCACCAGTCCGCCACTTTCAAGTCCACAAAAGACACCATTTTGGGAGACACATCGTCGGGTGCTGCTAAAAGATTAATCTTCTTTAGCTTGAAGGAGGCGGACCAAAACCCGTGAGGGAGAAGTGAAACACCCAAACCTGGCCGCCAGACCCAACGACAGAGCCGCGAAGCCTTACTTATTCCTTTTCTATTGGACTTTGAGGATTCAAAGAATTGCAAAGAAACCACACGCACTGTTTAATGACGTTGTGGACATATTGCTTCCACAAATCGATCAGTCCATCTACTTTGTAGATCCCCAACAGTCCCAAGACAACTCATGCTGTTGATTGACTTATCCAACCTGAACCACGCTACACTGCACCTTAAGCCTGAGCACACCAATTCCTCCCATTTTTAGCCAAACCCTCTCCATCCATGCTGGTTGCCCCTTCCTGGTTGCTCATGTCCAGGAGTTTGTCAAGGTCCACACCACCTCACATATCGTGAGATTCGATGTGCTCTTTGCGAAATCTTCAGAGGCTGCCAGAGGCTCCATTTGCTATGGCCTGATTTCTGAGATGTCATTGAAAGAGACTAAACATCTGTCAACTCAACTCAACTTGGGCCTGGTTGAACATGTTGGATCAGCTAATGATGCAAGCAAGCATTTGCGAGCACAAGTCGCCTCTGTCTCCAGTCCAAATTGCTGGTAGACTCTTTGGTTTCCTGCAGAGCACATCAACTCAGTCTATTGGTGGATTTGCGAAGATCAAACCCGGAAGAGCTGACCATCAACAGAAATAGACCACAAGGGGTATGGTGGGATCCAGATCTTGATGAAACACCTGACTGGTGAATCGCTGGATGGATGTCTCCGCCCCCCATGTCTCTCCACCCAGAGAAGCCTGAGTTAGACGCTTGGGCACCCGGGCGGTAGGAGTACTTCTTAAAGGTACGCTTTTTGGGAGCCTCGGCACAGGTGTTGACCACCACCCGGCCCCTGTGGTGGAATGGCCCTCGTCAGCTCCGCGTTTTTGTTCGCTCCAGCCTCGCCCTCCGCCATGGTCGGGGATGCGGAAAGGATGAGAAGCGACACTTGAGCCTAGTGCCGAGCCTGGTTAGGTTGAAAGCCAAACAGCACAAACGAGAGCACAGAAAAGACAGACCAAAGCAAGCTAGACCTGTGTGGTGCCAAACAAGCGACCTGGCTGGTGATTGTTAGCTGGTGAAATCGTTGCGACACTTTTGGAACCGTCAATCAGCCGAATAGTTCCTAATACCACTCGGAGTTAGACCACATGGGTCTACTCTTCTCTTCGGATTTCAGGGCGGCCTCCCAAACTACTCCAAACTCACCCGGGCCTGGCCTCCCCGTCGTGTCGCTTGGTGTCCGACGCGTGGCCTCCGCCGCATCTTCTGAGCATGTCAAGAAAACATCTCTAAAGGGTGTATAATATATTCATATTATATATATTATATATATTATATATTATATATATGATATATATATTATGTTATATATATTATATATTATATATGATTATATACATGGGTATTATATAAAATGTGGTATATAGATGCTCGATGTCCGATGTATATATAGGAAAGAATGGGAATGACATGGAATGAAGTGGCTCTCTCGCGATTTGTCTGGCGGATTCCCTCCATTTGAAAGCTCAACATTTGCTGAGTCCAGTAGAGAGAAGAAGGGCCTTTGGCAGCCAGCAAGCTTGCTGGCCGTGAATTTGATACGTGCAGGAAAGCCTTGGCTCCAAAGACTCAACCCTTAAGGTTAAGTCTAGATGTTGATGGGACACCAACCTTGGAAACGGTTGCGGACTTCTGCACATGCCGAACAGGACCAAGTGACCATTTGGTCACACAGCTTCAGCACGGTGCCGGCTCCCAGAGTTGAGTTTTTTGAGACAGGTTCTTTGGAACACTTCTGGATATAGAAAATACTGTACTGGATTATTCTGACTGTAAACCTCAGATTTGAGTTTCAACAGGATTTGGAATGCTTGTGGGCCTGTAGAAGCGACACCAGAAACCTCCCCTTAGAAAGTGAGCAATTGCAACAAAAATGTAACCAAAAGCTTTCCAAAGCATACAACTCCCCTGCAGCCGTCCTGGCTGTGTGTCCATTCAACAAGAGGACTGAGGAGTTCATTGCTTTGCAATCTCACCGATCTAGGATGGTCTAGGCCTGCATCTTATTGTCATCAACCACTTCTGCATGGACAACTTGAGCTTGCACCACCACAGGAGCACCTGGGGTGAAGGTAAAGCTTTGCCCTGGACCAACACCTTCTGGCACGGTGGCAGTTTGAATGCCCGTCGGTGTCTGAACCTGACAAGTACTGACATAATTGAATCGAAATCATCAAAAGCTGATCTCTTTCACAAAAAATAAACAAAAACACATTTGCAAGAGAGATCAAGAGAGCTATGTTCAACAACTGCACCCCTGCCAAAGACTTACACCATCTATATCTGAGTCATTCATGCGCAGTCTGCCGCACCTGAAGCTGTTGCCCTGGAACCACACCAGGAGGAACTGTGATCATGATCGATTGGATGGGTGCTGCACCGGGGATTGGTATGGTCACTGGCCCCATGCTGGTTCTCGGACAGAACACGATGAGCCGTGCGGTCCGAGCATGCTTGGGCTTGCAAAAGCCTGTCCATGCAGTGCGGTACTGCACCTGGATCGCTCCTTGTGTTGCGGTGGTGAGCTCGCTGCAGAGTTGATGAATCTTCTGATCTTCTGCCGTGTTCTTCGTCACCACGATGAGGCGCCCGACCGACACCACCAGTATAGTTGCGAAAGCCACAATGGCGCCGGCAAATTGGGGGAAGGGCGTGTCGTCCATCGTGAGAGGCACAAACCAGATTCCAATCATTGCAGCAAATCCCAGGGGCACTATCATGAAGGGAATCATCTCATTAAAGTATGAGCCCACAATGACAGTCAATTTGCCCACGAAGTCATTCCACCGAGCATCATCGATCATTGACATACAATCAGGTTTCCAGGTCTCGTTGAACTTGGGCCTGGTTTGAAAGCATTCTTGAGGCGATTGCAAGGTAATCATTGAACCACCCGGAGGGACAGACATGTCAACTGAAGGACCCACTCCCATGGCGTTCTTGGGGCCAGCAAACTCACCAGATCTTCACAATCTTGGGCCAAACATGCTGACCGCAAAGACCATGATGTTCAACTGACTAATAGTCTTGCTTGCCTATACTCTTACAAAATCAATGCATGTTCTCTGAAGCCTAACTAGTGATAACAGCCAGCAAGCACTCGTTCCAAATGTTCCCTTCAGTGTTGGCCCGCTGGGGTGGTCAAACATCCTTTGAGCATGCCATGAAGGATCTCACAGAGATTGATGCAGACATGTGATATGCCTGACATCATGTCCTGGTTCTCTGTTGTCTTTTTTTCTGGCGGATCCCCTCCATGTGAAAGCTCAAGTCCTTTGCTGAGTCCAAGAGAAGGGCCTTGGCTCCAAGCGCCGAAAAAGGACCAGCACTGACCAGAATTGGTCACACAGCGGTCTGCCAGAATTACTATGACAAGGACCGGTACTGGAAAGAAGACTGGAAAGAACCTCAAAGTTCTCCAATAACCTCAGAGTTTCAGCAAGCTCAGCTTGCTGATGTGAGTCATTCCGAGAATCGGACCAAATCATCTAAAAGATATCGGCATTCCGCGGCTTCGGAGGTTGAACTTCGGCCTTCTTCGGCCAGCAAGTCGAGGGCAACTGCAAGGTGATCATCGAACCCGGTGAAGTCCAGACTTTGGACCAAAGCCTCGGTGTCGTCTTTCGAGCGCATTCCCACGATGGTGGGAAGAGGTGACGCCATGTCTGCCAGTGGAAGTTGGCACGTGGCGTCACCTCTTCGCCTAACATCGCCTATGGCGCCTGAAGTTTGAGCCCAAAACAACGGCACAAAACAACGATTTCTGTGCCCAAAACAAGCAGAAGGTCCAACACCCCGACATGATGAATCCCACATTCAATACAATTTGAAACATATGGTGAAGGATGGTGAAGGCAACAGGAGGTCAGCGAAATTTGATTCTCTACAGAATCCAATCCTCGGAGGGGGCTAGACACAACCCACCTAAGAACCCACCGGCCGCAAACTGTTGCAGAACAACCCACCGGTCACTCAAAAGCTTCGCTTGCTCTGTGTCGTTGGCCTCGCCTCCCGAGGGAGCCAGACTAACCCAGCTGGCGGCCTTGGTGGAGCACAGTTGCACGAGCACAGTTGCACGAGCACAGTTGCACCACTCAGTTTGGATGTTTGGGGCTTTGGGAGGTGCCTTGGTAGCGCAGCACATGCTTTCGGGGGGTCTCTATAAGCCACTCCGGCTGCCCGGTGCTGTGCTGGTGTAGACACATATTACATCGGGGAGTATATATATATATATATGGGTGTGATTGGGTGTGGGTTTCAATCGGACTCCCGATCACCCCCTGGCCCTTGACCAGTTTTCGCGTCCAAGAGCAATCTCCTCGACTGTGTGGAACTGCAACGTACTCTTTAAGGTAAAAGGTGTCTTATGGTGTCTTGGTAATGCAGCTCCGTCATGATATTGTGAGAAGGATCATATAATATGAGAATATGAGACTGTTGCAGCCAAGATCATCGTCGTTCCTCTAGCCCCTGTAGCCCTTCCCAATGGTTGAGGATTGACATCCAGGATGGGCACATTAATCTTTTCCCTCTGGTCCGAAAAGAACCCCATCGACAAATCTTGGTAAACGAAACAAATACGACAGAAACACGCATCATTGATCCTTTGAATCATTGATCATTTTGCAAAACTTGTCCATCTCTCTCTTTGGCAAAATGATCCTTGAAACATGATCTATACAAATCTACCTCTCGACTCGGGTCTATTCTAAGAGGTTGTGATCTGGGATGAACCAAGAAGTATCAAGAAGTTCTGCAAGTTTTCTGCTGCAACTAGTTATTCTTCCTCTCTCCCTAGTTCTTTCTTTTTGGCTGGCCGGCCGCACTATTCCTCCGTTCTGGCCCGTTTGCAGCTTGCTACTTGTATCACGTACGCTTGATGTAATTGGCTCCTGCAGCAAGTTGCCGATCCACTTGACCACAAACCATACGAACCACACCGTGCGCCGCGCGGGTTTTCTGAAACACTGGCTGCTGGGGGCTCGGTACCAGCTTGGCCGGGCCGAGTGGAGTGGCGAAGGGAATTCCCTCAGTTGAGGTCAGGAAAAAGGTCAAAGTGCATGACCAGCGCCGCTTTGTTGAGGCCTCAGGGGACAAAAGGCCGCCGCGTTCTTGTTTGGGGATTGAGGAGATCAGGAGATTGATCTGTTTTGTTGCACCAACAGTAAGGATTGTCTCGAGGTTTTTTTCGCTTTGTAGCAACTACAGTAGCAAGATTGAAGAAAGCCTTGCTGATGATCGAGCGAGACAAAGAACAACACCCAGCTGACCCAGCTTTCGCTGATCGTGGAACATCCCAATGACGGACACCTCAGAGAATCCGGGTCGGGGGGCCCAAGGACCATCGCTTTTAGAGTGTTGCTCTGAACCCTTTGACCCTGCCCTGCCCTGTCAACAAACCGGACTCCGCCACCCGGGTCCGTGGACAACCCCGTCCCCAGAGGAAAGTCCGTTTCACCCCAGGCCTCCACCCTAGTAGCAATGGCCTCCGACCTATGAAAGCAATGGCCTCCCACCTGTGAAAGCAATGGCCTCCACCCTAGTAGCAATGGCCTCCACCCTAGTAGCAA